AGCAGTGGTTGGAAATGAGCGAGAACATGATATTGCCATTGATGACCTAACAATCCTAAATGACCCTTGCCCACCTCAAGGTAAGTCCTTGACATTCATAATCACATCATTATTATTATTATTATTTCATCAGTGCTGAACTTGAAGCAATGAAGTAATTTATTAACCTGCGTTGTCCTCATAAAGCAGTTAAATCATTCAAAACAAATGACATGCCATCTCAATAAAGTGGTGTGTTGTATTGTCTTCAGGGTATTGTGATTTTGAGATGGACATGTGTGGATGGGTAAATACTCGTGTCAATGACTCCAGTGATGACTGGAGCTGGAGCTCTGGAACAAGTGCTAGTTCACATGCTCCTGAGGTCGACCACACCACCAACACTGCCTTAGGTAAATATCAGCACATAATGCAATGAAATCAAAATGATTTTATTAGCACTATGTTATCACTAAGCTAGTATGCTACAAAACAAAGACACAATTCACAGTAAGAATATATATTATGCATTCAGCTCAAGAATTTCTCACTTTTGCCAATATGAACCAGCCATTTTGAAAAGTATTCTTCATCATTTAATTTTAGTTATGGCTATACCGTGCTAATAGATTAGTGTTTTATAAAATAACCAGGAAACTTGATATAATAAAGTTACCAAGCGCAACAAAAATATATTTTTTAAAAACACCATCAATGATTGTGACAAAAATAAAGATAGTAGATGCCTTAAATTTGCTTTAAACCACTACCATTGAACTTGTTTTCAATTCAATCACAACATTGGAGTAAACTCTGTACTAATTCTTTTTCCACACATCATGCTACTCTACAAATGTTGAGGCCAGGTGTTGTGTTGAACTTATTCTCTTGCCCTTCAATCCTTAAGATTTGAACAATCCTTTTGGAAAATGGCATCCAATTGTTTTCTTTTATTCAGGGCACTACATGGCCTTTGACAAAAATTTGGGTGGAAAAACATTTGCTCATCTCGAGAGTGAGATGATGGAGCCTGAATCTCATGGATGTTTGGAGTTCTGGTACCACATGTATATGTATAGCTTTGGTGAGTATCTTCATAGAAGAACTGAAGGGGATTTTACATCAATAGTATGTTGCATAAACAGCACAAGTGAATAATTTGTTAGTCAAATGTTGGTTAACATAAAACAAAAATGAAATGAAATTTCTTATTTATTTAGATGTGCACATTTCAAACACGTCATATCATACAAGGGAAATGTTATAGACAATTGTACTTGACAATAAGTACCTTTGTGTAAAATCTCTGATCTAGAATCATTTATTAATAGCTTATTTCTACAGCTAGTTATTTTAATATATATATTTTTTGTTTCAGATAAGATCAAACTAGCAGTTTATGTGAATGAGTCTGGCTCTTTACGCTGTCTGTGGAATCGAACTGGCAATCAGCAAAATGTTTGGCACAATGCCACTGTAGACTACACATCATCTGAACGACACCAGGTGAGACATTAATGAACAATAAAACATCACACTGTCTGATGCAAGTTCTTTTTTTTTTTCTTCAGGGGAAAATTATAGAAGATTTTTTGTTGAAACCATGGACCTAAAACACTAAATATCAGCACATTAAAAGTAATACTTATTTTCATATATACAAAAAACTGAATAAATGTCCATGCCTCCTGATGATTTATCAGTTTCAGAAACTGTATATACATACAGTAGTGCCCTTATCAACTGAAATGTTTCTGAAACTGATCATTATTTATAACGTTGTTATCTTGAATACAATCCCAAACAATCCTAAGCTCCTTGTCACATAATTCAAACTCAAATCAATGTCCCAAATGTGCATGGAAACATACAGTAGTAATACTTTAACATATAATGTCAGTTGCAGCACAGGTGTTAAATCCTGTTCCTGGAGGGCCACAACTCTGCACAATTTAGCTTTAACCCTAAATAAACACACCTGATCAAACTAATTAAGGCCTTCAGTTTTGTTTGGTTGTTTCTCAATGTGCATTCTTTAGCGATCTTGCTAAGGTCCAGTTGCAAACCTCAAGACCAGAAGAATGAAGTACGCATAAAATTTCTCTTGCGTTCTTGATATCGAGATAATCATTTTATATAGATTTATTATTAAAGTTCAGATATACTATATAACTTATTTATCTCAGGAGTTAACGTTCCCCTAAATGAGACGGAGAAACTAAACATTACAGTAATAAAGGCATAAATACACTAAGGGTGTGTAAGAATCAGCTCTTTGGTTTAAATCATGTTTAAACTTTGGGGATTCGAATCAAAGATTCGAACATGATTCACATAGAATTATTTAAAGCTTACACTTAACTTAAGTATTTGTCCAGCAAATAGAACGTTTAGGTGTAAAGCAATTCTGTATTATATTATTACGTGGCCAACAATAACAATATAAAAACAGTATCTAATTATTTAATGAGCAAGGTAACAGTATCTGAAGCTGAGGCATTAACTTATAAAGCACACAACACACCAACACTGATCTTAAAACGAAACAAAAGTTTATTGCTACTCTATAACACAAAGTACTAATCTACGTAAAACAAACAAACGCACATACATACACACACGCACAAGCAGTTTGAGGAGAGTTTTAACTGAGTGGATTTAACTTCTAGCCTTTGCTAAGTTCTTAGCATTGCAACCTGAGAGAAACCATAAAAGCAGAGAATTTTGCTATTCTTTACTACTTAAACATAATTCACACCAGTGTCAGCAATGGATAGAAACCTTGTTTGTGCTACTTGCGTTCTGATGGAATATTGGTTTCATTGACTGGTCCAAAGGGAAATCCCCGCGAAGCTGATTGGTCAGCGTAGCAACTTCAGTGACGTGATGGAATTCCCTTGTCGGTGAAGAGGGGTTTCCTTAGTCGGTTACTAGGGATACAGATGTTGGACGAGGCGGCGTTCGAAGTCCTTCCTGGGTTCCTGTAGTTATGATGAGTTTCAGAGTTTGGATGTGTTGATCCGATGGCTCGTTGTTGCACAAGCAGATCGGGGGTCGAGCTGGTAGCAAGTGAAGGTCGCGGTATGCTCCGTGATGTAACGTGGCTTCCGGCGAGGCGATGTAACGGCCACAGCACGAGAAGAGCGACGTCCGGGCAGCGACGGCGGTGACGACTGGCAAAGATGACCGGCAAAAGACGACGATGAAATTCCTTTGTTCAAAGTTTTATAGGCTTTGGTAGAGGCTGGGTCTACACAATACTTGTCCAATCAGATAAGGTGCGGGGTGGAGTCACACCCCAATTCTGCCCTCTAGGAGGCCGGGTTGACACCTGGTGTGGGTGCTGCTTTGATAGCATAGTGGTTAAAATAAAGTCTTATAACATCGACACTTTTCATAGTATGGTTTCTTTATATAAACCAATGCATTCGAAATGTTCCTAGCTTTCAATCGATACCAAACATGAAGTATGTCATTGTAGTGGCAATTTTCTTTAAAGAGGCGCTCTCTGTGGTCAAGAAACAAAGTCTTACTCGGAATGTCTTTTTAAAGTTTTATTCTTTGCAAAGAAGGTCACAGTCATACAGCAACAACAGTTTCTGCAGAGTGAGACACTGAAGTCAAGTGTGTTCACCCTTTTATCTGATTTTTACTGCTTACAAGGTCAAACCCTAATAATGCCCATTCTGACGACAGTTTCTACAGAATGAGACACTGAAGCAAAGTATGTTCACTGTTCTATCTAGTTTGTACTGCTTGCAAGGTCAAATCCTAATAAGGCCCATTCTGTACGTGCATCAGGTGCTCCGCTGTTTCTGCTGTAAGTTTCCACTACACATGTTTATCTAAAATGAATTTCCATTACAATTCCTCTCTTTTTATCATTCATTGATAACTCATTATTAAATTCATTTTTCAATTGATTTCTAAAATCACACTGGTTAATCATTTAACAGGTTTCTGCTCACATCAAATACACTAGAGATGTTTAAACACTCTTCTTAATATAGTTTCCCCATTAAGAGTTACCTTTCAAAACATCCCTCTTCCCTGGGAGCCGGGCTAAACGAATAATCACTGTTATTGCGCTCCTGACCGAAATCAGACCCTCAGTCACCCCTCAGAGGTTCAAATCACAGAAATTGCCTGTTATTTTCACATTATTGATTTGTTCACACAACAAAATTCTGAAAGCATTTCTTCAATCAGTTAAAAAATTACTAACACTCTACATTATCAATTCATCAATAACACTCACAAACATAGGAACACATTGTTGTTTCTGTACTCTTAAACATACATCACATTTACACTCTTCTCTCGATTTTCATGCAAATGATCACTCTTTTAAAACTTGTTACAGAACATACCAACTCATGCAGTTTGCTGTTTTTGTTTGAATAGACCCAAAATACATATAAGCAAGCAGATAGTTATCTCAAATTTCAAAAAGTCAGGTCCGTTAATATTTTCCCAATTAAGTAACAGCCGTCACCTAAAATTTTGTTCTCAATTTGTTTACGGTTTTTCTTTATCCAAATCCATGTAGCTACTGTTATCGTCAAAGTCATAATCAAAATCATGACCCATGTCAACATTCATACCCTCTTTTTTAACCGCCATCTTTACCATCAGATGGGATGTTGTAGATGTAATCTGTCTGCCCACTGACCATGATACAAATCTGAATATACATGGCAGACAACATAATATCACTAGACCCACCCCCAATACAGGTAACACCACAGTAAAGGCCCAGTAGATCCAGTTTCCCCTCTTAAACAACAGCCAATCTAGCCATCAGTTGTTTAAATTCTTAGGCTCTTTTACGGCCATTCTCATGTGGGCTACAATGTCAGAAATGGTTTGCTGGAATCAGATTAATGAAAACAACAGAACATTCAGTGATAATAATAGCAACATCAGTGTGATTTGTCTCAATCCACACACTCCATTGCCAGTTCCAGAGCAAGGAAGATGACGTAACAATGTCAATGATAGTAACGTCAGCCACAACGTGGTTTTTTTTCAGCCCACACATACCTGGCACTCGGAATGGATGCCAGCGAATCTTTTCGTTCATCTTCAGATCTTTAATTCACCTCTCTTTTGGTCGCTTTCTCCTCCGTCTGTTTGCTGCTTGGTGTTGTATTCAGAAGTTACTGTCCCACACACACCTCTTGACCTTGTTGTTTCTCCCCAGCTGTGACCTTGCTTCACTCAGATAGCAGCCTGCTGTTTTCTTCAGACAGCTTCAGAGCCCCTCTTTCTCTCCTACTCCCTCGTGGAATCCTTCTCAGGAGATGGAACTTTCCAGCAGTGCCCAGCATGCACCCACGTCGCCCGCTCTGCGACCTTCACCGCTGTCTCAGTGGTCAGTAGCACTTGAAATGGACGCAACCAGAGTTTCGCTCTCCAGCTCTTTCTCCTTAGGTCCCTGATCACCACGAAATCGCCAGGCCTCAGACTGTGCAGTGGTCTCTCAGCAGCCTTCCCCTGTGCGGCCTTTACCTGCACACAAACATCGGACAACACATGAGACAATTCTTTACAGTAATTCAACATGTCATTCTCACACACATCTGTTGAGGGCAGCTGCTGTTTTCCCCCATTCACACCTACACGCGGTGGTTTACCAAAGAGAATTTCAAACGGGCTCAAATTCATTTTTGATCTTTTTCTCATTCTCATGTACATCAGGACAATGGGTAAAGCTTGAACCCATGTAAGCCCTGTGTCTTCACAACATTTTGCCAATTTGTTTTTCAGGATGCCATTTTCTCTTTCAACAGCTCCACCTGAACCTGGATGGTAACTGCAATGTGTTCTCAAATCAATTTCCGAATATTGGCCCACTTGTTTGATTGCTTCATTAACAAAATGTGTACCATTATCTGAACTTCTTTTTCGTGGTATTCCCCATCTCGGCACAATTTCAGTCAGTAACGCTTTTGCTACCGCAGCCGAATCTTGTTTTGAGGTTGGAAAAACTTCAACCCATTTTGACCACATGTCAACCATCACCAAACAGTACCTTTTCCCATTGCATGGGGACAATTCAATGAAATCCATCATCAAATATTCAAAAGGCCCTGTTGGAGGTGGATGAGATGATAGTGGAACCTTTATCGCTCTGGCCACATTATGTGTGTTGCAAATTACACATCGTCTACAGAAATTGTCCGCAAATGCAGTGAACCCCTTTGTGAACCACAGTTCGTTCATTTGCGCAACCATTGCTGTTTTTGACACATGATCTTTACCGTGAAGTAATTTTGCGTAATGTTGGAAAAAATGTTTTGGTAAACACGCCCTGCCCTCAGCACTCTTCCACACATTATCTTTCATCACACAGCCAGACTGTCTCCACTTGTTCTTCTCCAGCCCCGTCGCAAAGGTCTGCATGTCCTGCAAAGAAGAACACACGTCATTGTTATCACCAACAGATAGCAAAGAACATTCAGAGTTGTCCTTGTCTTGGGACGCCGCTCCATCTGCCCTGGAGTTACCTACAGAAACAGAATCTTTATTATTAGAGTGCGCTGCGCATTTACAAATGGCCAGTTTGTCAGGTAGTAAAATCGCATCCAGCAGCGCTGCCACTAAAGGAGCATTGAGTATTGGTCGACCATCAGATTTTAGTAATTTTCTGTGTTTCTACAGAGCCCCAAAATCATGAGCTACCCCAAATGCATATCTTGAGTCAGTGTAAATTGTAGCCGCCTTTTCTGCCATCAATTTACATGCTTCTGTCAATGCCAAGAGCTCTGCGGCCTGTGCCGAATAGTGCCCTGGTAATTTCCCAGAGGCCACCACATCAAATTCAGTTGTTACAGCGTAACCAACTTTATTCTGGCCTGTTTGTGGATCTTAAAATGCTGACCCATCCACAAAGAGGACATTGTCACAATTTTCAAGTGGTTCGTCAGAAAGGTCAGGTGGTGGTGTACACACCTGTTCAAGTGCTGTTAAACAACAATGCTCTTCCCCATCTTCCTCAGTAGGAAGAATAGTAGCTGCATTCAAACCAGTACATTGTTTAACAGTCTACCTCCATGGTCCTGTAGGAGCAATGACGTCATAAACCCATTTCTCTCATCTACCATCTGAACAAATGGTTTTGTTGGTAAGGTAAACCTAATGCAGGGGCTTCAGCCATTTGTAATTTCATGTTTACAAATGCCTGCTCTGCCTCTGTCGACCCCTCTAGTTTATCAGTGGATTTCATCCCCTTCCCTAATGTTAGGGCTCTCAGGGGTTGTTCCAAAATTGCATTATTTGGAATAAATGTGCGACAATATGAGCACATACCTAAAAAAGACAACATTTGTTTTTTTTTCGTTAGTGGTTTTGGTACATTTTTTATACCACTCACCCTTTTTTCAGACAGAGATTTGCTGTGTGGTGTAATGACGTGCCCCAAAAATGTTACCTTTTGTTTAACAAACTGCAATTTTGTCAAACTGACCTTGTGGCCCTCCTTAGCCAAATGCCTAAGGACAGTCACAGTGTCTTTCACACACGTCTCTTCATTCTCAGCACATATCAACAGGTCATCAACATACTGTAACAAAGCAGTTCCAGCTGTCAGGATCAGAGGTTCCAAACTTCTTAACAACGCTTCGTTGTATAAAGTAAAACATACACCTGACACAGACGTGTAAAGGTGTTGCCTTTGCCATTGAAATTAAATGCAAACCAAAACTGGCTGTCTTTGTCCACTGACAGACTGAAAAATGCATGAGCCAAATCAACCACTGAATAGAATTGTGATTTTTCAGGAATTTGTGACAAAATCGTGTACGGATTTGGAACTAATGGAGCCCTTTGTTTGACAGCTGCATTTACTGCTTGTAAATCCTCTACGAAACGCCATTCAGTAGGCATCCCATTATCCCTTATCTTTTTAACAGGAAAAATAGGGGTGCGAACCTCAGAATTGTTGCATGGTACAATAACGCCCTGTTCCAGTAAAGACTCAAATACTGGGGTAATGCCCTCAATGGCTTCCCTTTTCAAAGGATATTGTTGTTGGCATGGTCTGTAATCAGATTTTGCAATGATTGTCACTGGATCACAACCTTTGATTAAACCAACATCATATTTGCTTTTAGCCCACAATTCACTTGGTATTTCTGCTAAAGCTGGGTGTATGTCTGCAGCGTTAAAGTCAACCATGCAAGAATTCTTTACGCAAAGTTTGTCAATCGCAGTCACAGTTCTTGAAACAGCTGTTTCAGTTTCACTGTCCACCCTAAAGGCCTGCGAGAGCGCGCTCCATTCTACCCCTCCCTCTCTGCTGATATAATCTTTGACTTCAAGACACTGCTTCACAAACGGGCCTAAATCAGCCCAAGACTGATGTTTACCCTTGCAAACTGATATGTGAGGCACAGCCTGTGCTGACATGAGATAGATTGAACGCTGCTTTTCTGACAGAGACACTGAAACTGCACACAGACTATCCTTCCAGTACATTTTCTCTAAAATCAAAGTTTCATTCACATTTGCCTCAAACCAAGCCTTTTCAAACTCTGCATCTCTATCAGTTACGACATGTGACGTACAATGCAGTTCACCAGGAGACAATATATCCCTGTCAAAAGGTTTTACACGTTCTTCAGCCAATTTGCAAATTGAATTAGCCCACTCATTGTTTTCAACCAGCCATTCATAAGCCCACTTCGGTGCTTGTGATTCAATTTGTAAACAACAAAATTCCTCTCCTTCAATCACTCTCACACCAGTGGAATCTGCTGTTAAAATCAAGTTTAGTTTACACAAAATGTTCCTTCCGAGGATAGGAACAGGGCATTTTGGTGAACAAACAAATGCATGTCTGAAAATTTTACCCCCCTCTGTCTCACAGGTCAGCGGAGCTGTAAATCGCTCAACCACTGTATGACCAGATCCAGACAGAGACTTGTGAAATTTGTTTGTTAAAGGTATTTCACACTGCAGGTCACATGGTCGTATGCAAGATATGCTAGCTCCACTATCAGCTAGAAACTCAACCAATGTATTCTCAATCAACATAGAATATTTTGCATAAAAAAAAAGGCTTCACTATTAAAAACAATGCCAAATTTACAGTGGGAAATGGAAGCTTTTCCTTCATTGCAGAGAGCCAGTTTGTCAGTGTATGTGAATATGTGTGTATAAAAATGTGTCTGCATTTAAACATGTTAGTAAAAATATGTTCACTTCCCTTTACTGTAGCTGTTGGCTGTTTGCCCAGACCCTCTCCATTCTGCTCTTCCCTCTCGGCACATCAGCTCCTCGTTGTTGGTTAGCGCCTTTCGGGTCAATCCTTAACCAAAAGTCCATTTCGGTTGCAAGCGCAGACATTTGGTACCGGTTCACATCACGTGCACGACAGGCTCTGCAGGTTTCATCGCCATACGTCACATTCCAGTTTCTCCATCTAGTATCTTTCTCCCCCTTGACACCTTTGTCACCTTTGAACTTGGATGTCAGGTGTTGGTTGGATCTTTGGTTGGCCACTTGTACCAGAGCCATGCACAGCTCCCTTTCTGCTTTCTTCTTGTCTTGCTCTTGCTTCACTGTCAGCTTGTCTTCAGCATGTTGAGCACACAGCAGAATGTTCGTTAAATGTCCATTTCTCCAGTTCAAACAGATGTCCTCCACTCGCTTGAGGTGGGAATTTCGTTGGTGCGGTCGGAGGTCTTCTGGGACAGTAGCAGTTAAGGTTTGGGTCAGTTCTCAGGGCTCGCAGCTCAGCCACGGGATAGTGATGGTACGGCGGTACATGTATGGAAACAGATGTATAGAAAGGATTAGTGGTGCTAATTAATCTTTCATTCACACATTCACATTTTTCTTTCACTTTATCTCCTTCATTCTTTTCCCTACATGCCAGCTGCCTCTGCAGCATTTTCCTCTTTGCCTCTTATCTGCCTCCCTGAGCCAACAATCAACAGTGTCTCCACACGACACGCACATGCCTTTCCCAAAGACAACCTGCCTTTCCTTCTGCCTTCTCATCTGCTTTTTCATTATGTTTAACCTAGTAACACTCAACATTCCTTTTCCCTTAGAAACTTGTGATACCTTATTGTTTTCCTATCTCTTGCATGCTTTTTTCTTTTTTTTTCTTATTCCGTATAAATTTCCCATATTCCAAAACACCGGTGTATCATATTTTTTTATTTTGCTTTGAGACTTCCCCATGCTGGCAACAATCTTTCCCCTGGACTTTTTCGGTACCTATTAATCTGTCGGACGTCTCCAACAGATTTCGATTTTTCACCTAAAATCGAAAAGTTAAGCTTTCCAGCTCTAATTTTGTGGCCCCCAATTTCAACCCCCTTTTAGAAGTAAATCGCTTGGCCCCTGATTTCAACCTCCTTCCGGAAGTAAATCGCACAGCCCTAGATTTCAACCTCTTTTTGGAAGTAAATCGCACAGCCCCCTGATTTCAACCCCCTCCCGGGAGTAAATCGCAGTTAGCTAGCCAAACGTGTTAAAAAGGTCTTGATCTTAGTCAGGCGCCAGATCTCACTTGTGTAAGGTCTTGATCTCAGCTAAACGCCAGATCTCACTTGTAAAAAGGTCTCGATCCCCACCTGATGTCAGATCTCACTTGCATTAATCACGCTGCTATCCCACAGAGACAGATCTACCAGCATGGTGATGGCCCAAATTACAGTGAAAAACCCTTTTAATTGCCTAATCAAATACCCAAAACTGTTCAATTTTCTTTTAGTAACAAACAAAGAATTTGTCTCTTACCAGAGAGTTCAGATGCCACTTGAGTTCTTTTTCCCAGATGTCAGTGGGGTTCCCCTCCGAGCCCTGCGGTCGGCCCCTCAACCCTCAATCGAGCGGGGCAGGGCTGTGACACGAAGTCCCAGGATGATCAGTCACCGTCCGCAGGGTCCGGAAAAGTTCCTCCAAGACATCCCACTATTCTGACACCAAATTGTAGTGGCAATTTTCTTTAAAGAGGCGCTCTCTGTGGTCAAGAAACAAAGTCTTACTCAGAATGTCTTTTTAAAGTTTTATTCTTTGCAAAGAAGGTCACAGTCATACAGCAACAACAGTTTCTGCAGAGTGAGACACTGAAGTCAAGTGTGTTCACCCTTTTATCTGATTTTTACTGCTTACAAGGTCAAACCCTAATAATGCCCATTCTGACGACAGTTTCTACAGAATGAGACACTGAAGCAAAGTATGTTCACTGTTCTATCTAGTTTGTACTGCTTGCAAGGTCAAATCCTAATAAGGCCCATTCTGTACGTGCATCAGGTGCTCCGCTGTTTCTGCTGTAAGTTTCCACTACACATGTTTATCTAAAATGAATTTCCATTACAGTCATAAACATTCTGTAGATTTCATTTGTCACTGAGGGCTATTACTCAAGAACTATCTATAACAGTTTTGTTAAACACATGGAACATGTACACACAAAAACCTACAGAAACATAAAGCAAACATACATTACTCAAATAAACACAGTTTTACTGTATGTCCATTAAACTTTGGAAGCGTTTCTGATCGCTTCTGTGTCTGCCTGAGAATGTGTATTCCTTGCAGACGCCAAAGGACACGCGAACCAAAAGGTACTTCTCAAAAACCGGTTTGGTGGGTTTTTGATTGTAGAGCCTCTTATTGTTTTAAGGTGTAAAGTTAATTAACACGCAACTGTGATGTTGACTGGATAGTCGTCCTGTGGATTGCCTTTTGCTGGGTGCCTGTGGATTGCTTTGAAAATGAAATCAAAGCTCAGACATTTAGGCACCAACCAATCTTTTAAGGATAACATGGTCTGTGGCTTGTTCGGTTCTGGAACGATCCGTTGACTCCCCACAGGTGTTTATTTGCAAAAATTTTTATTAAAATCTTTATTTTTTGCATTGTGCAAAGTATATTTGTAAGATTTTTGTCCATGTTATGTATATATTGAAAAGGGAAAAACTATAAATTGTTGTATGAATGCTGCAATGTTTCAAAAATTTTCTGTTAAAAATGTGTGAAAGACACGTGACCATCAGGAAGAACACAGCATCTCATTTCTCACAGGACGTATTCTGTGTTCTTCGGCCTCTTGAGTTCTTCCGTGAGAACTCCTCTTCGAGTTCTTTCGAGGTGATCTGGCAAGAACACTCTTCACAAGATCGCAAGTCCGTTCTCTGCATTCTTGGAATTTAAAAACAGCCTTTGAAACCTACAGATAAGTGTGTTGAAGCAGGGTGGGAACTAAACCTGGCCCTCTAGCAACTGGATTTGACACCTGTGAGTTGCAGGATCAAAAGTAAACTGTGTATTAAAGTAATGTTCCTGTATGTCGAGAGCCACACATATTTGTTTTGTTTTGCCACGTTATATGTTTTTATTCTCAACGTGCAGGTAAATGTTGATTTTCACGTTTTGAATCAAGAAACTTAGTGTCAACTAAAAACCTTTTTTAATGTCCTCCAAAAGTCACGAAAATCTCGAAGAGGCTGATGGTCAGTAACTACAGCAAATGATCGTTTTGGGTAAACTATTAGTTTGAATTCCATTGTTTCTCCATCAGATTGTGTTTGAAGCTGCGAGTCAATATTTAGATATAGGAACCATTGCTCTGGATGACATCTATATCAGGAGGAATACACACTGCTCTGATCTGACCCCAACAACACCTGCACCCACAACCGAGCCCACCGCTCCACCTGCATCCTCAATGGACTGCGACTTTCAGGAGGGTAAGACTTCAGTGATCACTACATGGATGCACAGTATTAAGAGCTCTCTGCTAAATATTCCAGATGTCTGCTTGCAGGATTGTGTGACTGGGTCCAGGAGACAGAAGATGAATTCGACTGGACCCATCAAATGAGTGGACATGTGAAAAATCCTTGGCTAGGGCCATTATATGACCACACTGTTAAAAATGACAGGGGTAAGACTTGCTATTTGGCTGTATAGGAAGCAGAGGTAGTGGGAAATTCTAATGTTTTGTTACACATCTTCACTCTTGCAGGTTTTTATCTAATAGTGAATCTGTCAGGAGAGCATGAATCCAGTGAATCAGCTGTCATTTCAGCCTCGATGGAAATTCAGAGCTCTGATGTCTGTGTTGAATTCTGGTACTACATGTTAGGAGCATCTGTTGGAAACTTCGATCTGCTTATTGAGACGGTACGTTCAACATTTCAGTCATCTTAAGCTTCTTTGGACAATGAATGTTTTTTTTTAAGAAACTAGGTATGAAATAAAGAAACTCTTCTCATTAGCAACAATATAAGTGAATTGCAGCTGGTAACTTATTGCTCATGCTTGCAAAAATGTTCTGTTCATAAACATCCCATCTGTGCCAACATTTAGATGAATATGTACATTTGCTCTGGGAACTTGCTTCTTAATAACATAACATAATAAATACACAAAAACAGCTGTTATGGAAGTATATAATTATGGATATGTTTGTGCAAGCTTTAATATTCACCCCATCATGTTTATGGATAAGGCCATTAATATGGTACTGTTATGATTGTCTGATAAACTATATAGTCTAGTAAACTTAACACTATAGTTTAGTCAAGTAACTTTTGTTGACATTTTAGTACAGTGTAAATATTTGCTGTAAATTTTACAGTATAACTGGCAATTTCAGTAGCCAGTAATACTTTTTAAATTTTTCAAATGCACTGTAAAACCACAGCACAGTTGTAATTGTTAAAATTTTGCCAGTGATACTGTAATAATTGCCAGTAATACTGTAAAAATGACAAGCGCACTAAATTTTGCAGCAAATTTTATTAGCAGCCACAATAGCCAGTAATACTGTACATTTTACTGAAATTCTTTAGTGTAGTTTGAAACAATATACTATATTGTATCAATAAATACCAGAGATTCTAGCAGCTCATGAACAGTTTTTTTTATCATAAATTACATGACCATTCCAGGCAATATATTATTTCATACAAAAAATGTCAATAAAAGTCGAATTTTGAACATCAGAAGTTGTCGGAGCAAAAATCTAGCTTCCATAATACAATTCGAAATTGTAGACGTATTCATATGTAAACTTCCTGGGAATTCAATTTATGATATTTAAACATCTTTTTAGAAAGATGGATTTTTGAAAGACATTTCTTATACTCCTCCACAAAAAAATATTTGTTATCGAAAATACAGCAAAGCTTTTTTTCACAGTGCGTTACATAGTTTGTTTTCATAGATATATACACTAGATTTCAGATATGGACCTGAGCATGCGTCAATAGCGCCGCCACATTTGTACAGTGCTCCCAGGACAAAAGTCTAACAATAGCACTCGTCAAGACTAAATTAGCACACAGATTAGATCAAATTTACCAGGCAGGGAGGATAATACATTTTGATGCACACAATTACATGCTCTTTGTCGGCAATGCGTGTGCGGTCACTTAACCATCGATGTAGAAAAGTGACGTAAAATTATAATTTTATATTATTTTAATAATATTTCCATACTGACCACCAGGAAACTTCAGATCATAGATATTTGTGTAAATGTTTACATATCTATGGCTCTGGATGGCCAGTCCTCCACTGACCCTTGGTCCCACATTTATTTCAAAGGAGCGCTACCCTGTTCTAAAATGGTGGCTCTATTTACGTATTCCTTCCAATAGACAACAATAGAATAGACGACATCTAATGTAAATATCTATGGTTTGTTTTAATGTAAAAAAAAAAATATATATATATATATATATATATATATATATATATATATATATATATATATATATATATAATCATTTTGCTAAATCAAAACATGTATTTTTGCATATGTATATGTATTGTTGAATTATACAGTATCGTTGGTTTCAGAAAACAATGGAAACTATCATATGGACAAGAAAAGGCTCGCAGACATCTGAGTGGCTGAACGCACAAGTCTCCATCAGTACTACAGATGTTCATCGAGTAAGAGAGGCTTACTGACGTCTCTAAATCTCAACCCACACTCACATATACATGTATTAACCAGGAAAACTACCTGACTGTCACTTTGTTCAGGTGAAGTTCTCCGGGAGCAGAGCAGCAGGAAACAGCGGCTTCATAGCTATTGATGACTTCAGAGTGACTGCAGGAGCCTGCGTGGATTACAGTGAGTCAAAGTCATTTATTTATATGACTATAATTTTTAAACATTCTCAGCCATTCAAGTTCTTTCTCTGTGATCTCTGTCTCTTAAAGGCCCGTGTGGATTTGAGTCTCCTTCACTGTGTGGCTTTGAGCCCGATGTGACCGTCAGCTCTGCCTGGCTTCATGTTGATGGTACTAGTGGCTATACTGACCATACATACAAGACTGAACTAGGTGAGTGAACGTGCCACTTTTGTTTTTTTGGTCATGTAGTTCGTCACCTTATCATCTGTTAAGCTGCTTTAACACAATCTGCAATGTAAAAAACTGCTTTGAATTGAATTACATTAATGGACCTATGTTATGTGTTTGTCATACAACAGGTCATTCAATGGCTGTGCTTGGAGCCAAACTTGAGAAACCAGAGGTCTCAAATCTTTTGACACCAGAGTATAGTCCATCTGCAGAGTCCTGCGTGCAATTCTGGTATGTTTGTGAACCAATAATCTTATATTAGTCTATCAAAGCTTCAGTTTGGTAGTTTTTCTCCAGCTCAGTTACAGTTGATTCAGTATGATGTTTTGATAGAGGCTGTTTGTAGGTATCGGCTGTCTGCTGGCTCGGCTGATTCACTCTCAGTACATGTTCTTCTGAACGGAGAGCTCAGTCCAGCACTCTGGTCTCTTTCTGGAGTGCATTCTGGTAGTTGGGAAATGGCAGAGGTCACAGTGTCGTCTCCCTCTAAGTTTAGAGTAAGTTTAAAATATCTTTCCTTTTTTCCAGCATGCTGTTATCAACCTTGCATGATGTAAAATCTTCTGTGAAACCCAAGAAATGTTGAAGTCATACAGTAACTTTGGACGAAAAGACTCAAATGTAAAGGAGTAGCCCATTCGAAATTGCATTTTTATTATGATTTACTCTCTGTTAAAGTGTAGTCAGCCTTAAATATTGGTGAAATTATGACTTTGTATGAGAACCAAACCAAAAAATCTTAAAGGGTTATTCACACTGAACTGAATGAAAATTCTGGCATATTTTATATAACATAACATTGCATAATTGAATTGTCTTTGGCAAACCACAAAATGACAAATCTAAAATCCTGATGATAGATTAGATTATAAACGGTCCAAAATTACCCACTTCAAATGGAAAATTCTAGCATAATTTATTCACCCTCATACATTCCGTCAACCTATGTTTTTTATTCTTCTATGGAACACAAAACAAGCTATTACCAAAAATATTGGTGTC